GGCTGCTGCGGGGGCGGCTGCGGCTCCCGCAGCCGCAGCCGCGGCTGCGGGGGGCCGCGCGCCTGGGGGCCGGCCCCCGGGCCCGATGGACGTGGCTGGCGGCCGGAACCCGACGGTGCCTGCCCGCTGGGGCTGGGGAGGCGCGGCTGCGCGGCCGCGGCCGCCTGGGGGCCCAGGCCCTGGAGCGGCTGACCCTGAGGCGGGGGGCGCTGCTGGGAAGGGGGGCCGTGGCGCTGAGGTCCGGGCCCGGGCTGCTGGGGGCCCCCTGCGAGTGAAACAGACGCGCGCGTGCGCATTCAGATAGAGCTGCCTGACCTTCAGCCGCCCCGAGAGGCCAGCCCTCACACTGGGTATCTCCAGCCTGGGATGCTCATCATCATCTCCCTCAAGCAGCTGCGTCAGAATCCCTTCCCCTCCATAAAGTCATCCAACCACCAGGGGGGCCCTTGCTTACCCTGTGGGGGGGGGCGCTGCTGAGCTGGAGGCCCCACCTGGCGACCCCCAGCCTGTGCCCCCGGTGACGGAGCCTGTGTAAAGAGTGGGATGAACACGGTCTTCAGACTCTCGCTCTGAGCCCCAGGCCACTTTCCCTTCCCCATCTTAGTGGGAGAACTGCTAGGGCCTAACCTGCGGGTGGGATCCGCGGCCAGGAGAGGCCTCCCGGGGCCTGGGCAGGGCCAAGCCCATCTTGTTAACCACAAGCTCCACGATGAGCTGCTTGTCCTCATCCTGATGATCCCCGATGAGTGGCATGGAGGAGCCAACCACCTAGGGGGAAGGGAGAGGTTGGAAAGGCCTGCTCTGGGGACAAGGAGGCAGGCCAAGTTCACGTGGGGGGGGACTGGGAGGAGGAGTGCTGACCTCAATGATGTGGTCTCGCCCATCCTTGCCATGTAGGGCCTCCACAGCACAAATGTCCAGGCCCCCAAAGATTTCGGAACATGTGTCTACCCACAGCTTGTACCTGTGAACAGAGGTGATCAAGGCTGACCAGGAACATCTCAGAAGAGTAGACAGCTGCTCACGTGTAGATGGGCACTCTACTGAGGAGGCTCGCTGCATTTTGGGACAGCTGCCAGGCTTCCAAAGTTGTGCCTTCTCCCACCCCCACCCCCAAACACTGCCAAGCAGAACCAGTCTCTTCAGCATAGTAATCGGGTTCAACATACTTGAAGGGCTGGCATATCTCCCTAAAGGCTTCTCCAGGCTAAATATCCCTGGGACCTCTAAGTATGGTTTCTCTATGGACCTGGTTGAGCTTCAGTGTGTTAGCTGTCTTCCTAATACTACCACTCCTCCCCGGGCCCCCCTTCCTACACCGGCCCCACCTGTCAGACATGGCAATTTGCTCCAGCATGGCCGAGCCTGTGTTGGTTTTCCAGTTCCCGGACACTGAGGTCCTCCTGGGAGGGAGCAGAGAAGCATTTCAGGGACCATTCTGTAAAGCCAGTTTGGGGGAGGGGGGGAAGAGTAGCAGATTCAGGAGGAGACTGGGTGGGGGGGGGGGGGGGGGGTGAGACTCCCATATAAGTTAGGACTGTGGAGAAAAGTAAAGGGCCCGGCTTACTGGCGCCTGGAGTTAAGGTGCTAATGAGCCCAACCTGGGATGAGGACCCCAATGTGGAACCATAACTTAGCACATGACCCACCTCCCTCCACGTCTAAGGAGGGCATGAGGAGACAAGCTGAGGCCCACCCCACCAAGCTCCACCAGGCTCACATGTAGGCCTTATAGCTGTGGCCAATCTTCTGCACTCGGACATCATACTTGGCATCAATGAAGGGCTCTGCTGTGGCATAGGTCTTGGTCAGTGCCACCACACTAGCAATGTCCTGGAAGTCATACTGATTCTCTACTTTCACCTGGAGGCCAAGGTTGAGAGACCAGGGTCAGGGTTTGCTGGACTATTTGGGCATGGGGCCTGTTGTTACTAGGGCCCGTGAGCAGAAACTCAAGTATGGAAGAGAGCTCGGAGCCCTCAGTTGTGATGTCGCTGAAAAGGATTCAGGCAGTGTCCAATGAGAGTCCTCTGGGAAGAGGAGGATCATGGCCTTTCAAGGCATCCCAGCGAACTTTGGACACAGTCTCGTTATTAGGGTTATCAGGCTTCAGGGGGCCACCAGTTCTCAGTGATGGACAGGGAGGGAGACTCACCTTTCCCATGCCTGAATGAGCGTGGCCCATCTTCACCACTACAGGGTATCTGGTTGTGGTGAGCTGGCAGGCAAGGACAATGGTAACAGTCAGTCTCGTGCTGGTCCTAAGCCCAGACCTAGTCTGCTCCTTCCTCCCCCAACCAGCTATCACTCAGCCTTCCCTCACTAGTGGATTTGGGGTCAGCTCTGTAACTTGGTGCCTCTCTGGGCCTCCAGCTTCTCCATTCGTACAATAAGGGGGTGGATTTGATGGCCCCTTCTAGTTCCAGGCTGTCAGTGACCCATTTCCGGCTGTGTCTCTAACCCTGGCTCCTCCTTCTCCCCTCCCCTCCCCTGATGCTCCTAATTCCTGGCAGACCCAGGAAGATAAAACCCAGCACCCTGCTCACCAGGCTTTGGGGGAGGGTTGGTGGCCAAGGGGAGTTTGTGGGGAGGAGGAAGAACAGAGGTGATGGGAACCTTCATATCAGAGGCTCAGAGGGCACAAAGTGACCTTAGTATTGACAAGTGGGGAAACTGAGGGGGCCCAGGAAGGAGAAAGAGTTCACTCACGACCACACATGGCTAATAAGCAGCAGAGCCCAGGTCCTCTGCCTCCACATCCCAGAAGGGATGGACTTTGCCCAAGGTCACACCCACTAACTCAGTGGCTTAGATGGGACTCAAACCCAGGTTTTCTAATAGCTGCCTGGTGATCCTCCCTCTGGCCCTCATCCCAACATCTGGATACCACCCACACCCAAGCTTTTCCAGCTCTCCAAGTAGGGGGTGGTGGTGACTTCCAGAAAAGAGAAAGTTGATTTTCCCATAGAGGAAGCCAGTGAGTGAGTGAGTGAGTGAGTGAGTGAGTGAGTGAGTGGGTGAGTGGGGTGCCTACATCCTGGCTCTGACTTGACCCCAGCTCAGCCACAAAGAAAAATGCAAGAATCAGAGCCTGCCCCACCCAGCAGCTGAGACAACAAGCCTTGCGTCACAGATGTCCGCCAACACACATCCCCAGGCAAGAGTGAGCACGTGCACACATGCACCCATCTCCTCAGATGTGCAAAAGAGGAAAACTGCCACCCTCCTGCCTTCCCATGTGAAGGGCCCCGGCCCTCCCTTGGGGCCGATGGGAGAAGAAGGAAGCCATGTGTCCCAAGGCAGGGAGGAGACTGCCTCACAGGAAGGGACACAAGGACACTCCGAGAAAGTGACATCTTTTGCCCCACTTGTCTCACTTGGCCACGTTTGCCTCTCAGGAATCACATCCTGGACTTGGACGCTGCAGATGTGATGCTGGGCAAGGTCCAGCCCTTCTGGGCTCACGAGTGGTCGTGGGCAAGCTCCTTCCCCTCTCTGGGCCCCCTCAGTTTCTGCATTTGTCAAGTGAAGGTGCTGGACTACATCAATGCTAAGGTCATGCTGTTCCCTTTAAGCCTCTAATGTGAAGATCACTTTCACTAGCCTATCCCCATGCTCTGGCCTTTGAAAGCTCTCCCAGGACTGACTGGGGAAGGGCCCTATGGGATCCTCTAGTCCATGCCCTTCATTTTCCTATCTGGGGTCCAGCTTCGCCCTTCTCTGTTTCCCCAGCATTTAGCAAAGGGCCTGGCACCCAATAAATGAGCAATACATGCTTATTGGATGACTGAAGCCCACAGAGGTGGGGTCAGTTGCCGGAGGCCACTTAGCTCCGTAGAAGCAGGATTCAAGCCCAGGTTCTCTGGCCCTGATGCCTCTTGTGCCCAGTGTGGTTTGGAGGCCTGTTTGACATTGATCGTTTGTTTAAGGCATACATGCATATATGTACATACGCAGACATGTGCTGTTCAAGCTAGGGGGAAAAATGACTTCATTTGATCTACCTTCATCTTACAAAGGAGTAAACTGAGGAACAAGAGGTACAATGACTTGTCCAAGGTCTTTTGTTTAGGGCTCTTAAGCTTTTTTGTGCCAGGCTGGGGAAGAAGCCTATGGACCCCTTCCTAGACTAAGACTTGTGGCCTACATTCCTAATGAAAGAAAATAGCTCAATTTCAGTTCAAGGTTAGTAAAAAGAAAGATGCCTGGTTTGGTTTGGTTTTTCCATACAAGTTCATGGACCCTCTGAAATCTATCCACTAGCCTCAGGTGAAGGAGCTCACTTTAGCAGGAGAGACCCAGCTTTGAGCTTGGGCATTTGCTGGCTCTGTGAGCCTGGGCCTCCCAGAGTCTCAGTTCCCTTCTCTGAAGAATGCTTGAATCTGCCTCCCAGGAAAATGCTCTAGAAATAGCAGGTGCTGATTTATTAGAAGAGGTAACACTAAGAGAACAAATAGGAGCATTTGTGGGGGGGCGGGGTGGAGCTCTGAAAGACTACTAGTTTTGGAGTCAAGGGACCTGGATTTGAATCCCAGTTCTGTCACTCACTAGTTCTATGACTTGGTTTCTCTGGGCTTCCTTGGTTTCCTTCTTTTGAAAATGAGCGTATTGGACTAGACGGATGCCTTCTAAGGTCCCTCTAAATCTATGATCCCATGAGACATCGGTGGAAGAGGAGCTATAGGAGGAAGGGAAGAGACACTGGGGTAAAAAGAATGAGATGAGAGGATTCAGAGGAAGGAGGGGACACAGGAATAAGAGGAGAGGTGAAAGGAAAGATAACAGAAGTGCAAGGAGAAAAGACTCTGGAGTGAGAAACCCCAGTGAGGGGAGAGGAAGAGGAGAGGGGAAAAGAGGGCAGCAGATGAAAAGAGAGGAGAAAAGAGGGCAGGAGATGAAAAGAGAGGAG